CGCGTCGAGCGAGAGGGAGGCGGAGTTTGTGGTGAGGCTAGGGGAGAATTGTGGTGAGCGGGAGGGGAGGTGTGGGGAGATGAGGGGAGGGAAGAGGAGGCGAGATCAGGTGACGAGTGGTGAGGGGAGGGGAAGAGAGAGGAGGCAAGCCAGGGGAGGCGAGATCAGGTGAGGAGTGGTGAGGGGAGGGGAAGAGAGAGGAGGCAAGCCAGGGGAGGCGAGATCAGGTGAGGAGTGGTGAGGGGAGGTGTGGGGAGGGGAGGCAAGCCAGGGGAGGCGAGATCAGGTGATGGGAGGGGAGGTGTGGGTAGGGGAGGGGAGGTGAGGGGAGGGGTTATGAGGTGAGGTGAGGTAAGCAGGTTTTTCCCCAAAAGCATCGCACGTTTTTGTCGAGTAAACATGTCACGTAATACGGCGATGCAAGGTGATACACTAGGCAATACAGGGTTCTCTCCTTACACACGTTTTCACCACGTTCGCTGACGTCGTTCGCTCGTGTCATAACCTGACCGATCGATAGGTAGATATTACCCTCATCGCACGACAATAACGAATCCGCCGTTATCCGCGTCGAACCCTCGTTATTTGCAGCTGCATCAACATCTCGCAGCCGCTCGTCAAGTGTAAGCGAGTCTTCCAGGCGCTCATCAACATCTCGATTGAGGAGCTGTGCGAGATAGCCGACTCTCTGATAGCGCCGGCGAGGCTGGGCGTGGCGCGTCCCAGCGCTCCGTTCCCGCTCGTCACCTCCAGTGTGGACGCCGTACAGGTACACATCGTGACGCTCCACTCAATGAATATTTAATTTTTTTTAATTTTGGTATTTTGGTATTTTATTTTTCGTTGGTTCTTGCAGTGGGGGTGGGGGTGCAAGTTTTGCGATGGGGTTTGTTGGGAATTTGGTGTATCTGCAGTTGTTATTGGAGGGGTAGCAGTTCAAACGTTCCTTCGGAGAAGGCAGAGAAGTGTAGCTGAGGTTGTTGTTGGAGGGGTAGCAGTTCAAATCTTCCCGTAGTGTAGGGTAGTTGCAGGTAGTGTATGAAAGGTAGTTGCAGAAACCGAGCTGTGTTTACTCTCTCTAGCTACTACTCTAGTTAAAAAGTTGATCAATTTTTACAAACTTTCCTTTAAGTTTCTCTCAAGAAAGTCGAGCACTTTAAGTACTTTTTATTTTTTGCCGTGTCACACACCATATCTCTCGCTCGCGTGTTTCAGGGCAGCGAGGAGCTGTTTGCCGTCGATCCGCTGCCTCCGCGCAGCAGCGAAGACGATCCCGTCTCGGAGGACGGCCCGCGGTCGAGCTACCCGCCGCCGAGCAGCCCTCCGCCCAGCTACCCGGCCCCGAGCAGCCCCCCGCCCACCTACTCGCAGATGGAGACGGGTCCCGACTCTCAGGGTCAGCGGCAGGACAGGAGCATGGAGGGCGGTGAGCGGGAGGTGCATGAGGTGGAGGTGGTCGTGGCTGGGGAGGAGGAGGACGACCACCCCCAGGAGGCGCCGGCGCAGAGCGAGCAGGAGGACGAGGTTGGAAACGAGAGGTGAGCGTGAGGCGTGGGCTGCGACGCACGTTAAATTGTTGTTGTTGTTGTTGTTGTTGTTGTTGTTGTTGTTGTTGTTGTTGTTGTTAGCTCATCTGACATAGTCAGATCATGAGATGCAGCTTGTAGAATCGCATGAGCGTGCGTCTGTGCGTCCGTCCGGGAAGTCGGGACGTGGGGGACATGTAACTTATGCCACTGCCAGTGC